TCTCTCTATTGATTAAAGAGTGATCCCGGAAGTGCCCAGCTGGGAAAGTGAAACAGCCTGTGCTAGAATGTTTCAGACATGGGTTTGCTGCAAACAAAATAGTCCAAACAAATAAAATACTTCATTTAGCCAATCAGTGTCTTAGTGATATCTGGAACCAAGTTTAAATTGATGTGAACACGTTAAACAAAATTTATGGATCAGAGCTGGCTCACAGATGAGTTTTTTTTTTTCCCCCACGAAAGCTCATCAGCCCAAACACCTCGGCATGAAGCACCAGGATCCTGCTGACTGGGACCCTGGTTGACCCTGCCGCACGCTCTAGCCCTTTTGAGTTAAGTGACTAAGCCCAGGGTTCTTAGCCCTGCCCTCCAGTGCCTGCTCTTTGGGGAATGTCCTTCCACAGGTCTTGCTTATCTAAAATCCGATTCTCATCACCCTGTGACAAAGTCCTCTGGCTTTCACTAGACAGAGATAACTGCAGGGCCTCAGTGCTGCTTCTTAACCTTGAAAGCAAGTCTACTTCTGTGAGTCATGTGTTATTTTGTTCTGTCTCCTTGTCTGTGAACTCTTCCCAGGTGAATATGAATCTATTCTCTCTAGCAGGACCAGGGCTCAGCACAGAATACAACAAACACATAGTAGATGCTCAATAAATGAATGAACAGAATGAAATATGAAACAAAAGAAATTCAATGGCAAAGCCCTAAAACGGACTGACACATAGTCTGCTATGTTCAGACTCTGGGCTAGATATTTGACATATATTATCTCCTTTTAGTCCTCTCAACAGTCCTCTCTTTGGGGCAAGTTGTTTTGATTTTATCTCATAGATGTGAAACCCGAGGCTGAAAATCTTAAGGGTCTGCTGCTGGTCATATAACAGGGTGATAGCCAGACTAAGCCTCCAATCCAGAGCTCGTCAAAGTCTATTATTGGTGCTGTGATTCAGTATGCCTTTGAGACTAATGTTGAGATTATGTGACTGATCTTTGTAATCAAATTAGCTCGAATGGGGAATCTAGTGTTGACAGATCACTTTTAAATACAAAGCAACTAGGATTTAGTCTCATTTTCAACTTTAATGATGTCTTAGACTATCTCTGGAGCCACAGAGAATTCTCCTTGGAAATGCCATTTCAATTGAATCCTAAAATTAGCCAACTTTATAACACCTTCCATGTTTATTGAATAAGTAATGAACAAACAGCCCTATTGTAATTTGAAATTTGATATGAAATTTCTCAACTTTCTCTGTTTTGGAGACTATAACTCTCATGTAAAATACCAAGCACCAGATAAATATAATAAATATAAAACTTCAAACTGAGCACCTGATAAATATAACAAATATAATATTTCAAACTAAGTGTGTATATATATATGTGCACATATATTCGTACATAACATATATGGTTTTCACATCTGTTTTTCAAAAGATATAGGCAATTAAGCTCAATGGATTAATCACAGTACTCATGGTATTAAAAATGAGAGGCATTGCTTTTCCATATTATTACTGATTTCTCTTTCTTACTTTCTGCACCTAAAATTAAGACAATAATTTTCTATATGTCATAACACACCCAGTTGTAATCATGGCTTTATAAATTGTACAATTACCCCTAATGGAATTTCATTTTCTTGATTTCTACAATTAGCAAATCATAGTTTCTAAGCGTTCAGAAATTGTACCTTCCCTGTGATTATTCTAGAGTTTTAAATTCACCTTCTGTTGACAGCAATTTCACCAAGTAACTAGCATCGCCTCTGAGCCGAATAATGCAACAATTCAGCATGCTTTCCAGCAAAGTGTAATAGCAGGGCTTTGGATCTTGCCGATGTTTAGGAACTTAGTGTTCATGTTCTTTTACTATCAATTCTTGCAGTTACGCACGGAAAGACTTCATAAAAATCCACATGTCCGCTATAGTTACAGTGTCCTATACACTGTACACAAAGCCAGCAAGTTCCAAGAAACCCCCTGAAAGATGGGGTTTGTTTCATAGTGTGAAACGAAACTTCCAACAATTATATCCCACTGGAACTGACAGTACCCAGAGCTCTTGTCTGGGAGGGGTGTGTGTGTGTGTGTGTGTGTGTGTACTCGGGTGACTTGACCAGGATCCCTGAAGGCGGCCAGTTTCAGCCCGGGGCGTGGGTGCTATTTTGATACATGAAGCAGCATCAGAAACCCTTTCGCCTCTCCTAGTGTCCTTAGGAGGGTCTAGACTGGGGCGGAGGACTTCCGGCCAAGAGACACCCGTTGCCTGTCTCAGTGGACTCCACGCCGCGAGCCGTGCAAGGGCAGGAAGGAAAGCGTGTCTTCTTTTTTCCAAAGCAAAAGCAGAGCATCATACTTACAAAAGCCGCCTTCACAATCTTCTCTAGAGAAAAAGCCCTGGGAACAGGGAGGAGGCAGAGGAGCGGAGATAAGGTGGCAGCGGGACTTCCTTCCTCCTCCAGAAGGGGAGACTCATTGTTGGTTATCTCCGCTGACCTCCGAGGGGCGCCGGCAGCCAGGAAGGCCCGGCCTCCGCTCCTCGCCGCCCTGCTTTCTGGCCTCGGAGCCTCAGGGTTTCCTACTCTCGGGGACGGCCGCCCGGCCTGACAGCGGCCCCGAGACTCATTAGGGACTGTCTGCGAAGTACTGGCAGTAAGAGGAGGGTTATATAAGCCCGCGTATTATTATCATCACACACCCCCAGAAAAGCCGGCGCTGCCAGACAAACAAAAGGCAGTTCCAAGAAGAGGAGGAGCAGAGGCAGAAGTTATTACACTGGAGGTGAATTTCGGGACACTGCTGAACCCACTGGGGGAAAGAGAAGTCAAGGCAAGCTGTGTATGCAAACCTCGGCAAACAAACAGTGCGCCGCCGCTGGCCACCGGCGCGGTGGGAGTGGCCCGCAGCCCCGGCTTCCAGGCTGCGCCCCGGCTCCGGCTCCGGCTCCGGGTGCTCGGCACAGCGGCCGCCTGGGGCACGGTGGGGTGCACGAGGAAGAGGGGTGCTGGCCACGCCAGGCAGTCCAGAGCCCAGGGGCTTGGTAAACACTGAGCTTTCTCCGCTCAGACTAGGTGCTGCTACCGCCTCTCTTGATTCCGGGTCTCCTGTTGTCTTTATGATGGTAAGCAAGGAGTTCTCCGTGCCCTCCAAACCCTGTTTTAAACTTTTATAACAGCGCTCTGCCCTGTTCCCTGGGGGAGCAATAAACAGAGCCAGAGGGCTCTTTCCCCTAGTTCCCAGGTCCTCTGAGAAAAGTTCTGAGTGATGCCCTGGCCTCCCTGCCTTGCTGTTCCTATTTTCTTTAGATTATTATTACCCCGCCTTGCTCTTGGCACCTCTCCCCAACATGTGAAGAAATTCCTCGTGCTGGCATTCAAAGCCCACAATTTTTTGTCCCCACGCTAATTTTCCACTTCCCCTCCTGCCTTCCTGCCTCACCACACTAGAATATGAATCATCCTCTAAAGATGGCTTTTCAGTTCCTCTTTTCCTACCTGCCTCACATGCCTCCTTCTCACCCCCGTTCAGACCCCAGCTCCCCCACCGAAGCCTTCCTGATTGCCCCAGTTCTTGGATTTGATTCTCTGTTCTGCTTCGTTCTAGGCTGCCTGCCTTCATAGGTTTGGGATCTTGTGTTGGTCTCCCTGGTGGCCTAGGACAGGGCCCTACATAAAGCAAGTGCCTAATGAGAATTTAGTTGACCCTGGAGAGCTTCCGTGAGCCAGCAGTGAGAAGTGCAAGGGGCCATGGCCTCCTGGGTGATGAAGTACTGATGGTTGTGGGATTGATGGCTTGTTGGGAAATTTTTGTAAGTTCCAAAAGAGAGGAAAGATTTTGATAAAACACGAAGGGGAGCATGTGAACTTGACAGAGGCAGCTTCCTTTGGGATGCACTGTTGTTGGGAAATAGGCCCGCTGGCATTTTTTTTTTTTTTTTTTTTTTGCACTAATGCCACTGCTCTTTATTTAAAGGACCTGCAAGGTGGAGTTGACTTTCCAAAATGCCAGGGACATTCCTCAAAGGTGAGATCTTCAGAGATCACAGACCTCTGGGGTGCATTTGTATGGAGGAAACACCTCCACTGCTGAAAGAGTGTGAGCTAACAGCAGCTCAACAAATGAATAAGAGCTCTCTGGCGAAAGGTTTGACGATACAGGGTGAAATAGGGAACAGGAGCTGTCAGCTACTGATTTTTCTTGTGGCTTTGTATTAAAGCATTCCTAATGACGTTGTCCCTGTTATTCATTGGTAAAAACAACATGTTTGAAATTCCATCTGTGGCGGTTAGATCGGCCATGGTGTCATTTTAGAGACTCGGGGTGTGTCTTCACAGTACACGCTCTCCACTGCATACAGAATGTGCAGTGAATTAGAAGAGTTTTCCCGCCTCCACTAATTTGGAACAATCAAGACCAATTCAAGTTTGAAAGAATTTTAGCCTCAAGTTCTCGAGGGCTTGGCTTCAGGACAGAAAAAAATCTCCTTGCAGTTTTGGAGTTCAATGTAGGCTCTTCCCTCACTTTGTTCTGCTCAGGTCAAGGCCATAACCTCTGTGAGCGCTGCTGTTAATGAATCTTTCTATGTTTTAGGCTCTCCGTGTTTCTTAATCTGGAAACCATCCTAACAGAACTATTGCAAGTGGGAAAACTGAGTCTGGTCAGACTAAAGTTACAGGGCTAGGATATGAGCCTAAAATTGACTGCATGGTCCAAGATTTTTCCAGGCTTCTGAAAGCTAAAAGAAACCTGAGGTATTATCTCAATTGCTGGCTTTCAAATTGGGTTCCAAGGAGCTGTGAGCTTTCAGGGAGGTATTTCAGGAACCTCTGCCGTATATGGCAAAAGGGAAACCGTGAGCAGAGGCCAGGTCAATTGCAGTTGGGCTGCACTCCCTGGACCCAAAGGAAGAAGCGTCACTTCTATCTGTTTTGTTTTTTTTTTTTAATTTATTTGACAGGTAGAGTTATAGACAGAGAGAGAGAGATAGAGAGAAAGGTCTTCCTTCCGTTGGTTCACTCCCCAAATGGCCGCCACTGCCGGTGCTGCACCAATCCGAAGCCAGGAGCCAGGTGCTTCTTCCCGGTCTCTCGTGCAGGTGCAGGGGCACAAGCAGCTGGACCATCCTCCACTCCCTTCCCGGGCCACAGCAGAGAGCTGGACTGGAAGAGGAGCAACCAGGACTAGAATCCCGTACCCATTTGGGATGCCAGTGCTGCAGGCAGAGGATTAACGAAGTGAGCCACTGCGCTGGCCCGCTTCTACCTGTTTTATAAAGTGACTTTAGATTTTGATTGAAACAAAAAGTTTTGCTACTAAAATTATTCTAAGGCTCTTGATCTGGTTTAACTTCCTTATGAAAGTTGGGGCACAGAGACATTGAATACCTTGCTCAAGGACTTATGACTGAGGGGGACAGGCCCAGAGGTTACTTCAGATGTCCTGGTTCTGCCAGAGACTACTGTCCGTCTCCCCTCTGTCCTCACCTGTTGCACTGCAGGGACAGTGACTGAGAACCTGTAGTAAGACTTAGCTCACTGCCTGCTGCTGTGTCTCGACAGTGAACAAGAGGAGGCAGGAATACTTTCACTGTGCCTCCTGGTTGTCTGTTTGTTGAGCCCTTGAGCTGCAAATCTAAAGTTGGCCAACACTTAACCCATGACAACTAAAAGTCCAAGAAAGGGTTAACTTTGTCACTTGTCCAGATGATTCAGGGCTCTCCTCGCTTTCCATTCAACCCAAAGCGTGTAGTGCCGGCCAGAGAAGACTCTACGTTTATCAAACTGGTCTAGAGTGACTCAAGCATTTTACAGGAGACACAACATGTGTGGGGAACATAGTGTACTTATAGACATCAGTTCTGGCCAAGGCAATGTGTGGGCATCATATAAGCCAGCACAGCTCAAAGCTAAAATCACATAGGCCCTGAGGTCTACCTGTGGGCTCCTTGCTTCCACCTGATACGCTCCTTACGCGGTGGAAGAGGTCGCCCACCCATCCTCTTCCCCATCACCTACACCAGCTGCGCTCCACCTGGTGCTCAACCTCATGGTTGTCGCTTCCCCACTAGCCCAGGCTGTAATTTAGATGAATAACAGTCGCAGGGAAGCTGGGGCACCGCATCCTCTCCTTACTCCCAAGCCTGCTTCCTGGAGTGTGACACCCTGTGGCCTGCACGGTGTGGGGTCTCCTCCTCCCAGGCTGTGAGTGCCTCTGAGGGTTGATGTCATTTCTCTGGTGTCCAAACCCACCCTAGGGCAGGACTCCCTACTGACAGGGCGAAGAGGAGGCAATCAAAACGGCGACGAGACGTGACTGCTAGGATGACATGGAATCTTCGCAGAGAACGAGTGCCAAACAGCTCATCCGTTGGAGTTCTACCCACGGTGAGGCTATTTGCAAATAGAGATGAATTTTAACTGAAATGATGTCAGCCGAAACCGACCTTTATTCCTTCCCAGGTCCCTGAGCTTTCCATCTGCTCTTTTTAATTTTTATCATTCTCACCTGGAGATTTCTGGGCGCAATAGCACTGTTCTTCCCTGAGATGGCTGAACTGCAATCCTGCCTACAGGCAAAGGAGTAAAAGCATGGTCCTTCCATCTTATCAGTGAAATCTTTGCTAACCCCAGAAATAATTTTTCTCATCTCCACAGCCAAGAGATTATAATACACAGATCTTTGCTTTTTTCATCTGCAACATCCTAATATTAATATATTTTCAACTTCTCAGCCCCAGAAAGAAAGCTTTGGAGATAATTTCTTTTCCTATTCATGAGATTTACAAAAGGAAGGTCATGTTTGTACTAGACTTGGGTCTGAAATTAATCTTCTTTTCTCCTTGGCATTTCTATAGAATCCAGACACTTCATTATTTAGTCATTTTCAAATATTAAATACTTGTCATTCTTGAACAACGATCTAATCTTCCCTTTGTGGGTGGAGAAACTGGGCTGTGGACCTTGCAAATCACAAAGAGGGCAGAGAGGACTTGAGAGATTGGGAGGGCCCATGGGAAGGCCGTCTCCCCATCTAATTCGAGACTACAAAGTAAAAATGTAAATTGTCTCATAAGAAGTGTGGACGACATCCTCCAGCTATAGACAGTATTAATTAAAAGCTCATTTACATCCTGCCTTATGAGAGAAATTCCATGCAGTAAATAAATATATTCAAACCCCACAACCAACCTCAACAGCAAGGCTGTCACCTCCCCCTCCCTAGATTGTGGCTCCTACGGATTGAAATATATTCTTGGTGCCGTTAAACAAGGGTTCATTTAAACCACATCTGTTGCTCATCAAACCTCTATTTTTGGAGTGGGGAATTATTTTGCAGAGATAGAGTCTGTCTGGAAGGTCTTACTGCAACAAATAGTATTCCATCAACTTCACAACACTTTACCAACATACATACAGTACTCGTTTTCAGGCAATTACAGAATCCAGGGAAAACCCGCCCCACAGCTCCCACCCCCACTTCAAAGAATTCCTCACTTGACTAATTCTAAAGAGTAAATTGATTTTCTCATCATTTGTTGTGTTTGACAATAGAAAGGCTGACACAGCAACATTGCTAACATGACAGCTCTTTTCTATTCAAGGGGAAGGAATTTGTGTTAATATTCTTAATGACTGGCATCTTTATGAGAAATGTGAAATCATTTATCCTTAGCAATAACCTGACTAGGATTAAAAAGTACTTCATGCTTAGAACGGAAGTGATCTGTCAGGAAAAATTATTTAGACTGATGCAAATTAACTGAATAAATTGGCTTACTGTCGGTTCCTAATTATAGCATGCGGATTCAAGTTTGTTAAAATCAGGTTGCACTGAAGAAGAATCTGGAAAGGATCTTTCAAGAAGCGATCTGACATTCTGTCAGAGGAAAAGATAACACGTTTGTTTGATAAATTCCTTTCACATTTACTAAGAATTTCTGGGAATGATTTAAGCAAGAACATGTAAATCAAGGGAAAACACATTAAGTAACCAGGCGTGCATGTCTTGCTTATTCTGAACAACAGTAGTAATGTTTTATGAAAACACAGTGCAGAATATTCACTGTTGTGCCCTAGATTCTAAATAACCAATAGAGTTTTCCATGAGGAGTTATGGCAGGCTTCTCAAGGCTGGCTTGGGCATGAGCCCAAGTGACAAGACTAAGAGAGTTGAGCACTTGGACCTGCACTTAAAAAGCAAGGTGTAGACAAGTCTGCGTATTCTGTAGCGAGTTGTTCTGCGCTTAATGGGCATGGTGCTGCACACCCGTTAACAAGTTTTTATTGGAATCTCAGTCTTCTCTTCTTCATCAGCTTCACAGCGCACCCTCTTCTAGCTCTTTACCAAAAAGCTCAGTAAATCATGCGAAGAATCCCTTCTCAGCAGGAAATTTAGGAAAAAAGGTATACATTGAGCAAAATGTAACTTATCTCCATGTAATTAGTGAGTGTGTTTTACTGTTTAGTATTTACGTAGAAGTTTTTTGAAGAGAACTCGTGGTTTTTTTACAAAGTGACCTGTCAGTAAATGCTAGTATACAGGTGTGTGTTTTTCCAAATTTTTGAAAGTCTAGTTCCTTTACTTGTCAAGGGAATGACTGGTGTAGGGATAACAATGTCTGAAGGGGAATAGCAGTGACCAGCGTATGCACGGACTTGGCGCTCACTCAGATTCTTCTTCCTTTTCTGAGTCTTTTAGGCTGTGAGTACCCTTAAGCACAAGTTCAGCATTAAGTGCCCCAAGTGAAGAAGCAACTTAGTCCCTTTTCAGGGGTGACTCTGAGAGTTCCTGGGTTTAAATATAGACATTCAGAGCAGGTTCTTGGCATTGATGTTAAGACACCACTTTGCGGGGCTGGCGCTGTGGCTCACTTGGTTAATCCTCTGCCTGCGGTGCCGGCATCCCACATGGGCGCCGGGTTCTAGTCCCGGCTGCTCCCTTCCAGTCCAGCTCTCTGCTGTGGCCCGGGAAGGCAGTGGAGGATGGCCCAAGTGCTTGGGTCCCTGCACCCACATTGGAGACTGGGAGGAAACACCTGGCTCCTGGCTTCGGATTGGTGCAGCGCCAGCTGTAGCGGCCATTTGGGGAGTGAACCAACGGAAAGAAGACCTTTCTCTCTGTCTCTCTCTCTGTCTATAACTCTGGTGTACCTGAGTTCCATTTCAGGTTATGCTCTCAGTTCCAGCTTCTTCTAAAGCAGAACCTGGGAGGCCACAGTAATGGCCTTGGCCACCCACAAGCATTGGGGAGTGAATCAGTGGATGAGCAATCTCCATCTTTCTCTGTCTCTCTGCCTCTCAAATAAAAAAAAGTAATTTATGAATTAAAAACAGAAGTGGAACTCCATATTAAAAATATGTATATAAAGAAATAACAATATTCAATGATATAAAGGCAAAACAATAGGGATCTCTGGAAGAAGATGATGGTTAGTGATGATTAATAATAATCTGAATTACTATGATGAGTTCAGCCCCTGGAGACAGTCTTTCAGGTAAAAAAGTGTTGGAGTGGATATTAGAACTCTTAGAAACTTTTGCTAGAAAACAGTTGATTAAAGAGACATGGGAAAAATCATTAAGCAAGTCAGTAGGTGGGGAGTCCAGTTTGTCACCTCATCTTTGTGTAAGCTCTGTGGAGACACAGATTGGCAGTGCAAAGCCACACTTGCCAGACGCAGGAGTGAGGCAAAGCCATGGGGCAGTGACTGGCAGAGAATGGAGAGGAAACAAGAGGTGTGGCAAATTGGACCCTGGACACGAGCCTGCTGCAGAGGTTGCAGTCTCCAAGAGATGCTGATAAGGATGTGCTGAGCCCCAGACAGGAAAGAGCCTTGCTCTGCACAATCTGCAAGACACTCATGTCTGGGGCTGAAAGATGCATTAGTAAAAAAAAGCTGAAGCTGAGGCTGGAGCCTGATGCAAGGGTGATGGACAGCAAAAGGAGTGATAAGGAGCAGCGCCTGAAAGGAGCTACTTGAGGGTTTTAAAGCCTGCCAAGTTCAGTAACCTGAGCTCCAACGTGCGACCAACTCCAATGAATGCACTTTCATCCCGAAATTCCCTTACAGTGCATAAAGTTAAACTGTGCACTTAGGGTGTCTGCGAGCCGTACTGGAATACACAGGGTAGGACAAAGGCAGCATTCTAAAGAAGGATGGAAGGTGGCTAAATGTGGTCCTCTTGGCTCAGCTAATCATTCTTGTTTAGGGGAAAATATATACAAATGAATATCATGGGAAAATTTGGAATAGCGAGAAAACATCAAGTAGATGGTTGGATGTGTAGATTGAAAGGTGAGAGATACAAAGCCATGTTCACTGCTTGTCTTGGGTTAATGTTACCCTCCTGCTGGTCCATTTCTGAGTCATTGCTCAGTGGACCATTGCATGCAGTGCCTTGAAGAGCCAGCCGTGTATCCTGGAGGTGATTCTGCTCCTGCCCTGAGACCAGGATCTTTGGCAGAATGTTTCTTTATTTTTATACTTACTGATTATAGCAAAGGGGGAAGTCATGACTCCGACTCCTGGTGAGGCTCAGCATCACTTTTTATCTAAAAGTTGTCATCTAGGGGATGGCATTGGGGCACAATGGGTTAAGCCAATGCTTGGGACATAGCATTCCATATTGGAGTGCCTGGGATCAAACCCTGCCTCTGCTTCAGATCCAGCTTCCTACTAGTGCATGTGGGAGGCAGCAGATGGTGGCTCAAGTATCCGGCTCCCTGCCATACACATGGGAGACCTAAATGGAGTTGTATACTTCTGGTTTTGGGTTGGCTCAGCCCTGGCTGTTGTGGGTATTTGAGGAATATACCAATGGATGAAAGATTCTGTCTCTCTCTCTCTCTTTCTCTCTCTCTCTCTGTCATTCTGCCTTTCAAATAAAGAAATGATTTTGAAAGTGGTCATCAAATCAAAGGCTACAGCTGTCAAACTATCAATAGAGTGGCCAGCATTGGGGTGCAGTGGTTTCAACCATTGCCACCTGCATCACCAGCATCCCATATGAGCACTGTCCCAACTGTTCCATTTATGATCCAGCTCCCTGCTAATGTGTCTCAGAAGGCAGTGGATTATGGCTGAGGCTCAGGCACCTTTGTGGCAGATTGGAGGGAGTTGTTGCCTCCTGGCTTCGGCCTGACCTAGCCCCATTCATTATAGCCACTTGGAGAGTGAACCAGTGAATGGAATCAATATCTCTCTCTCTCTCTCTCTCTCTTTGTCTCTCCTTCTCCCTCTGTAACTCTGCCTTTCAAACAAATAAATAAATCAAAATCAATCTTTAGAAATTTATTGATAGAGTACTTCAACGTTCCAAGGTTGGAATTAAAAGCCACTTAAAGTAGAAATTTTTTTCCTTTTATCATTTTTTTCTTACCTTAAAATTGTATGCATTGCCATAAAACTGAGGTTAGTTTTCACTTTTTAGGTTTAAGTGTTTAGATCATGACATCTTAAAAACTTTTTAATACAGAACTCCAAATGTCATTCACTCATTGAACAAGCATTTGTTGCATGTTTAATGTATGCTAGGAGCTGTTGGTACAGGTAAAATGTGGCACCTGCTTTCAAGAGGTTGCAGACAAGATGTGGTGATGTCCTTTTTAATACATAGACTTTTACATGCCAGTTATTCTTAGAAAGAAGTCTTCTAATTGTGGAATAAAAATATTGTTGAATACATGGAAAATAGCTTGATTAAACTGGACTTAAAGGAAAAAAGGGACAATGTAGGTTGCATGGGTCTGTATCTACCTTGGCTCCAATAGCTTTGTGACATTGATCAACTAAGTCTAAGTCTGTTTCATCATTTTTAAGATGGGGGTCATGAGGATTCTATGTCATAGTGATGTTGAAAAATTAAATTAGATAATGCATGTAGAATAGTTACAGTAAGGACTATTCAATAAACCTTAGCTATTATTATAAATTGTAGTAATAAGTACAGCACTGACATCCTTATCAGTCATTTTGTTTTCTTTAACAGAATATTATTTTTTTTTATTCCCAAATAAAACATAAGTTTAAAAGTTTTAGATGTGGTTGTTAGGAGTGTGACAAGGAGCTGAAATGTCAAGAGGATATACTGGGGAGCTGGTGCTGTGGTGTAGTGGGCTAAGCTTACGCTTGTGGTGCCGGCATCCCATATGGTCACTAGTTCAAGTCCCAGCTGCTCCACTTCCAGTCTAGATCTCTGCTATGGCCTGGGAAAGCATTGGAAGATGGCCAAAGTGCTTGGGCCCCTGCATCCAGGTGGGAGACCCAGAGGAAGCTCCTGGCTCCTGGCTTTGGATCTGCTCAGCTCCAGCCATTGCAGACATTTTGGGAGTGAAGTGGTGGATGGAAGGCCTTTCTGTTTTTCTTCCTCCCTCTGTAACTCTGCCTCTCAAATAAACAAATACATCTTAAAAAAAAAAGGTTATTTTGGAAAGAGCTCTGGTTCTGGAATTTAAATGTGAGTCTGAACTCCACCATTTAATGTCTATGAACACTAGTAGAAAAGTAGCTTTCACAGCCCGTTTCTTAATCTGTAAAATGGGTCCAATAATGCCTATCCTGTTTACTTCATCTGAAGCATGATGAAGATAAAATATAATAGGATTGGTGAAAATGATTCGCAATGGGCACTATGATGTATAAATAAAGGTTATTATTCAATCAGGGCAGGCATTGTGTCGCAATGGGTTAAGACATTGATTAGAATGCTCTTAGCCCATATCTGAATGCCTGGAATAAATCTCCACCTCTGCTTCTGGTCCAGCTTCCTGGTATTGTGCACCCTGGGAGGTAACAGATGATATCTCAAGTATGTGGGTGCCTGCCACCTAAGTGGGAGACTCTGCTGGAGTTCTGCACTCCTGGCTTCAGGCTGGCCCAACCCTGGCTGCTGTATTTGGGAAGTGAACCAGTGAATGCAAGGTCTCTCTCACTTTCTCTCTTAAGTAAATAAAAATAAATAAATAAGTAAACTTTAAATCATAATGATGATGTTTCTTCCTCCTAGGCTGATGCTTATATTGATTATAGATGACTAACTGGCAAAAGATGTGATGGCAGTTTATAAGTATTTTAAGTGAAAGTTAGTTACATTTCTATTTACAGAACTAGGTTACAGATTTGGAGAAAGTCTGGAAAAATAAAAGACCTGGATTTGAGTTCTTCACTTTGCCTCTAGTCTGTTCTGTTTGTGTATGCAAATTATCTAACTCCCCTGTGTCTGTGTCTTTTTAGAATTTTACATTTGGAGACTTTTTTTTTTTTTTTACAGGCAGAGTGGACAGTGAGAGAGAGAGACAGAGAGAAAGTTCTTCCTTTGCCGTTGGTTCACCCTCCAATGGCCACCGCGGCCGAGGAGCTGCGGCTGGCGCACCGCCCTGATCCGAAGCCAGGAGCCAGGTACTTATCTTGGTCTCCCATGGGGTGCAGGGCCCAAGCACTTGGGCCATCCTCCACTGCACTCCCTGACCACAGCAGAGAGCTGGCCTGGAAGAGGGGCAACCGGGACAGAATCCGGCGCCCGGACCGGGACTAGAACCCAGTGTGCCGGTGCCGCAAGGCGGAGGATTAGTCTAGTGAGTCGCGGCGCCAGCCCTGGAGACAATTTCAAACATGAGAAGGTAGTAGGAATAGTCGGAAGAACACTTGCATACCAGTGACCTAGATTCTTGTTTTTTTCTATTTTATTTCTCATATACAGATGCTTCTTAACTTATGATGTGGTTGTGTCTTTTTATTTTAAGATTTATTTTTATTTATTTGAAAGGCATAGTTTCAGAGAGAGAGAGAGACATAGAGACAGATAGAGCGAGATCTTTCATCCACTGGTTCACTCCCCAAATGGCAACTATGCGTGGGGCTGAGCCAGACCAATGCCAGGAGCCAGGAGCTTCTTCCTGGTTTCCCATATGGGTTACAGGGGCCCAAGGACTTGGGCCATCCTCCACTGCTTTCCCAGGCACATTAGCAGGAAGATGGATTGAAAGTGAACAGGTGCTCATATGGGATGCCAGCATCCCCGCTTTGCCACAATGTGGGCCCTTTGGGATTGTGCCTTGATAAATCCATTCTAAGTTGAAAACATTGCAAGTTAAAATTGCATTTAATATGCATAAATTACTGAACATCATTGCTTAGCTGAGCCTACCCTAAACATACTTAGAACACTTAAGCTAGCCTATAGTTGGGCAAAATTGCAAAGCCTATCTTATAATAAAGTGTTGCACATTCATTTTATGTACAGAAAGTAAAAAAAATGGTTATATGGGTAAGCTTTGGTAGTGTAAAGTCGTAAAATTGTGAATTGAATCATTGTACATTGGGATCCATATGTGTGTGTGTGTGTGTGTGTGTGTCTGTCTAGAAAGAAAGTAAAGCTATCCCCTCCTGCCTCCTCCCCAAACCCCAACTTCTTGACCCACTGAGAGTAAACTTTACTGCACACATTGTATGGTTATATTTTATTTCAGTGTGTGACTCTGCTTCTTATTCTTTAAAATGGACACAGATATTTATTTATGCAACGTGCTACATAAAGCTGCCAAAATCAAATGAAAATTTTTAAATCATTTCATGCCCTCATAACCATTCTGTTATAGTACTATAGTTTTAATGATCTGTAGTTATTTTAAAATTTATGGTGTATAAGTGAAATGGTCACCTTTTCATTTGATTATTGTTACCCACTGCCTATCTACCACTGAACTACGATCTTTTTATTTGTTAAGCTTTTTGTTTAGTGAAGCATTAAGCTCTTGACTATAATGTTAATTTAAAATATACTAACTCAAAAACAAAAAAGAAGGAAGGAAGCAAGGAAATAGAGAAAGAAATAAAGGAAGAGAGAGAGAAGAAAGTAATAGAAGAAGGGTGGGAGAGGGGAAGGGAAAATCATTATAAGAATTGTACCTAGGGCCAATATTGAATCTATTCTCTTTGCGTTAGTATTACATTAGCATGAAAAAAATAAAGTATCAGAAAAAATAATTATGGGCAAAAAAATCAAGTTACATCAAAGTTCAGAGGACTTACAAATTGAAGTAATGTACAGACTATGAAAGTCCATTGTCTATTTGTATAACAAGCTGATGATTCTGCCAGATTTGTGTCTGTGGTGAGAGAAAAGAGAATGATGCCCTTACCTCGTGCATGATACTTTTTGAGTTGAATCCCTTGAGTAGGATTTATATCTTTTTTGGTGTAATTTTTCACTTTAACATTTGCCATTTTATATGATCTATTTGATGACAGTTATGAACAAATTTGAGAAAAGGTCATAGAAACTGGAGGGCAGTTGCTGCTCAATGGCAGAACAATAGAGCTGTAAAGTTTAGGAAGAGCTCAATTTTATTTCTCTTGGTCCTCCCTTTAGTAGTGAAAATGACATGCTGTATTATCAGTATACACAACAATTGAGATGCTAAGAGGAAATAGAGAAGCACTGTGTTAGAGAAGTGTTTGATGTTTGCTGTTTAGGCTTTGCCGAAAATAGTATGAACGAAGTATTCTTATAGACCAAATAAATTACTTTTTATAGACTTCTTTTTCAGCATTCACTGTAATAAGGTTTAGCCATACAAAAATATGGATAATCCTCTGCCACATTATCTTCACATTCTGAACAGAAGTCACCCTTCCATCAGAAGTTGAAATAATGATAAGCATGATGTTTTTGTAATTCTCACCAGATTTGAGGTCACATTTTCCAATGGATTGAAATAGCCTAAAAATGTGAACTAAAATGTTCATCTCCTGTAACACATTCTTTCATTTCTCTGCGAATCATAGACTTCCTTTAGACACTTATGACAATAACAAAAAGAAAATCTGGAACATGTTTTTAAAATGAAAATTATTTTTCAAAAAGTCAAAACACACTTAGGTATTCTACATTAATTTTTGTATGTTGAATTATGGAATTGCATTTCTTTATAATGTAAAATAAAAATATAAATTAATTAATGTGAAACACACAATACAATAATTACTTTTACTTCTTTTACAAATCATTTTTAACATAAATTATAAAAATGCATAATTGTATATACTCTCATGCAATTTATTTATCTATGAAGAATTATTCCTATACTTCTCTTGGAAAAGTTCCAGTATCTAAGGAAATATTTCAAATTTTTTTCCCAAAGAGGTGATGCTATTGAGGGATAGATAGTTCAACAGTTCTAAGGCAATAGATTTCCCAAATATTGATCAAATGTGATATATTTGGAAAGATTTGAAGTATGAAGCTATGAGGTAGGAGTCAGAAGTCATGAGTTCTAACACCAGCTACTCCACTTCCTGGTCTTTAGATGTAAGGCACATGGCAGATCCTTTCTCAAATTCACCTTTCTGGAGCACAAAAACTGAAGAAGTGCTTTGCTTACCCAAATATAGCACGTTTCAATGAGTGAAAATCGTTTTAAGGGGTGATGGTTAATATTGTCATTATCATTTTGGGTTGTAGTATTCTTTTGCCATTGGTTAAAAATTGCTGTTATAAGCCGGCGCCGTGGCTCAATAGGCTAATCCTCCACCTTGCAGCGCCGGCACACCGGGTTCTAGTCCCGGTTGGGGCGCCGGATTCTGTCCCGGTTGCCCCTCTTCCAGGCCAGCTCTCTGCTATGGCCAGGGAGTGCAGTGGAGGATGGCCCAGGTGCTTGGGCCCTGCACCCCATGGGAGACCAGGAAAAAGCACCTGGATCCTGGCTCCTGCCATTGGATCAGCGCGGTGCGCCGGCTGCAGCGGCGGCCATTGGAGGGTGAACCAACGGCAAAGGAAGACCTTTCTCTCTCTGTCTCTCTCTCTCACTGTCCACTCTGCCTATCAAAAAAAAAAAAAAATTGCTGTTATAAAGAATGCTTTCTATAATAAAACTAATTACTTTCAGATCATCCACAGCAACAATGTTTGGTTATGTCTATTAAAATGAATTTTCCAAAAGAAGTACATCTGAAAAATACTTTTTCTTGTATTTGTTCCAATCCCAAGCATTCTTTACACCACCTGTTTATTCACTGTAGCACTCAACAAGGGAGTCCATACTGAAAAAACTGGGCTCATCCCTTCATATTGTTGCTGGGCCCTAAAATCAGCACATGAATTTATGTTAGTCCTGGTGGAATTTCATTGATTTGCACTATTGGGCAAAGTCTGGACTGTAGGAAGTGTCGTCAAAAAATTCATGGAAAATACATATTTTGAAAAAAACTGTGCATGGATTTTCCTTTTTTGTATCAAAATACACTTATCTTGTAATTCCTTTTCCCATGAATTTTTTGAAATTCCTTGTAGAATGAGTTTTGCTGTTTGGGGCAGGTCTTTAAAAAGCTCAGTCCCATGTTTCCTCAGTTGTGGGATGAGATTTTTCTTAGATCTCGATTGAGAAGCAAACCAGGTATGTCATTCTGTCTTTATCTTGGTCACTTTACCCACTCTTGTCGGTTCTCTTATTTAGGTACATTGTAGAATAAACACAAAGGAAAGATGACAGTGAATGGAACAGTAAGGTGAATATTTTAAAGCAATCGGTCTTCAACACTAACTTTGTTTCCAACTGGAACTTCAGTCCAGCTGTGTACTCTCAGCAAAGAGCCAGTGTCTTCTATCTTCTGGGTATTTAAACTTCTTATGGTTATGGTAAGATGCTAAGGCACATCTTTAACATTTTGTGTTTCTATATTTTACCTGCATTTCCTAGAAAACCCACCTCAAGTTCTAAATTATTTAAGAAACAACTGATAAGATTTGCTAGCAGGGATAGAATGTGTGATAAATTCCTCTTTCTTCCAAGTTAAATCCTGTCACCTCACTTTCTAATCATTCTGCAAATGAAAACACCATTCTTAGACAAAGAATTTTTGCAATCAAGTCCCCAACAACAACAACAAAAAATCCCTATGATTAACAATGGAGTTTATGGAGCTTATTAATTTGTGCTATCCAGGAGATAGTGGACGGGTCTATGTATGTAGCACTATTCCTGAAATTCTGGCCTCATCATCATTTTACAGGTCCTTAAAAATAGAATTGTCACCATCTCCTCAGTTCAATCCTCAAGAGAAATTAATTGATAACGTAGAATCCTGAATGGTTGGCATGTGAGTGACACCCAGCTATACAATTTCACATTTAATCAAGAAAGATGGGAATTCTACTTGGCCTATTGTCTATTTGAATCTGTCTCTGGCGGGAATCCAGCTGGCTCTAATGCAGCCCTGGAGAGTTGAAGTGGGCAGAAGATGGAAAAAGAAAAAAATGAAGCCAGAGAATTAGTGGCTGAGAGAATATCTTCCACACTGCCAGAGAATGCCTGGCATAGCTGTAGATTTGTGGCTGATTAGTTTCCTAAAATTTTTCAATGACAAAAAAATGTAACCTGCTATACCAGTTGTCTCTGACCATTCTGTGAATGCGTAATGAAGGCCTGTAGCAGGAATTGGATGCACCGCTTTCAAGCTATGCTTGATAGATGCAGATGTTTGAAACTCAACTTCTGCCTTAATGTTTCTAATAATATAAAATTCGAAGCATGAATAAAAATCTATGATGAATAGCAATTAGTGCAAACTGTACATAACTAAGAATAACATTATATGACAGGTTTTAAGTGAGAAGAGAGCACATATGAGAGGGAAATTATTGATGCTGGGAGGAAAGAAAGTTCCCCGGGAGTAACCAGGTATTCAAACCCAGCTACTTTAGGATAGTGGGATGGTGAAATACTGGTAAAGGAAGATTAGATTAACAGTGGTATGTAAGACGCATGGAAGTAAGAGAAAGTATAGATCTCAATTTAGAAGCACGAGGTGATGCAGAACCATATTAAAGTCCTTCTTTTCCCCTACCATCGTTTTTAATTTCAAGAAAACTGTTGCTCATGTAGGCTTATCTTAAGGGAATGGTAGGCACCTGTGAAGGAGGTGAATCGTGTAATCTAGAGGGAAAGAATGACAAAATACAGGCAACAGGATGATGGCATGGCCCTGAAAGACTAGCCAATGAGCTCCCAATCACATTATTAATGGCTGGCAATTCAATAATTCAGAATTCCAATGGTTTTCCCACTGTGTACCACCTGCTTCTTTTTCCTACCATCCCTACCGTTGCTCTTATTCAGCAAATCATTGCTAGTACCATGTGCTTAATGATCTTTAAGTTTTGAAAAGCTATCAAGAAAATAACGAAACATACTTTCTGATATATTATTTGCCCAGCAGGAAAGATGATTTACCTGAAGCCAAAGAGGCATTCCCAGAATAAACTAAGCTTGCAAAGGTGTTATGACCATGACAGAAGCAATTGTGCTACAGTGTTAACCAGAATGGCATGCTGATAGGGAACTATTTCTGTGACAAACTGGCTGAGAACAACAATAGCTAATTGTGGAGTTTTTTATATTGCTTATTTTTTTCTGTTTTCTGTCAGTATTTTTGTGTCAAAAAAGTGACTTTATGACAGAATATGTTTTGATTACATTGGTGTTCCTTTTTTCCCACTTTGTACAGTCGTTTTTTTCTTTTTTTTTCTCCAAAAGGACTATACTTCTCCAATTCTAGATATCATTGCACCTCCAAGACAGGTCTAAAAGCTTCACATACAAGAGTAGGATCCTGAATTGAAAGTGAACCAAGGGGCCAGCATCATGGCGCAGTAGGTTAATCCTCCGCCTGCAGTGCCAGCATCCCATATGGACACCAGTTCGAGTCCCAGCTGCTCCGCTTCCAATCAAGATCTCTACTCTGGCCTGGGAAAACAATGGAAGATGGCCTGAGTGCTTGGGCCCCTGTACCTGCGTGGGAGACTGGGAAGAAGCGCCTGGCTCCTGGCTACAGGTTGGCAAAGCTCCAGCCACTACAGCCATTTGGAGAATGAACCAACAGAAGGAAGACCTCTCTCTGTCTCTCCCTCTCACTGTTCTGTAACTCTATCTCACAAATAAGTGAATAAAATCTTAAAAAAAAAAAGAAAGTGAAGCTAGATATCTAAAATTAAGACGTTCAGGAGCATCAGGTCATGTTCTACTCCCTAACCTCCCAGTCAGGACATAGGCATTTACCTAACTGGGTATGGAATAAAGAAAGCCTGTGCAAAGTCTGGCAGCTGAGGCCAACTTTTTGGTTTGTGCAGTTGATGCTTATTGATCTGTATACATTTTCCCGCTGGTTCACTGCACTGAGTATCACAATTCAGGGCTAGCCATGAATATAAATTGGCTCATGTTGATTAGACTCATGCCTGGCAATCCCGAGTGAGATACAGATTACAGGTGCTGATCCTTAGGCTGGCATTCCTTCCATTAGGACCAGAGTATATGCTCAGAAAACTACTTTGGGGAAATGAAACAGGCCAAAATCTTCATTAAAAAGTTGAAGGGAAACTAAGTCTCTTTTGAGAATTGAAATCCTGTCAAGTCTCCACGGTTGTTGCAATTTCCTCAAATTTTTGGTAGCAAGCTGGAATTTCAATTTCAAATCTTGCCAACTTAAGCTGTGTATTTTTTGTGTTACTGCCCAGCATACAAGTGGCCTTCAAAAGTTCATAGATGGGGCCAGCTCTGTGGCTTAGCAGGTAAAGCTATCACCTGCAGTGCTGGCATCCCGTATGGGTGCCAATTCCAGTCCCAGCTACTCCACTTCCGATCCAACTCTCTGCTATGGCCTGGGAAGCAGCAGAAGATGGCTCAAGTCCTTGGGCCCCTGCACCCACATAGGAGACCCAGAAAAAGCTCCTGGGTCCTGGCTCCTGGCTTCAGATCAGAGCAGTTTTAGCCATTGCGGCCATATGGGGAGTGAATAGGTGGATGAAAGACCTCTCTTTCTCTCTCTCTCTGTGCCTATCCTTCTCTCTGTGTAACTCTAACTTTCAATTAAATAAATAAATCTTTAAAAAAATTTCATAGACAATTTGTGGACTTCAAAGTTGTTTTGCACCACAATAGACATCTTTTTACAATAAATGCCTTTGTCATAGATTGCCTTGATTGTGTTGAGGAATGTTCCTTCTATACCCAGTTTGCTTAAGGTTTTCATTATGAAAGGATGTTGTAGTTTATCAAATGCTTTCTCTGCATCTTTTGAGGTAATCATATAGTTTTTGTTCTGCAATGTCTTTATTTTTACTTATTGACAAGCAGAGAGACAGACAAAGAAACAGATAGGCAGCTAGAATAGATTTTCTATCAGTTGATTCACTCCCCAAATGCCTGCAACAGTGAGGGCTGGGTCAGGACTAAAGCAGGAGCCAGCAACTCAATCAGGGTCTCCCATATGAGTGGCAGGAACCCAAGTACCTGAGCCATCACCTGCTGCCTTCCAGGGTGCACATTAGCAGGAAGTGAGAATGTGGAGCAGATTCAGGACTTAATCTAGGCATTCTAAACACGGGATGTGGCATCCCAAGTGATGTTTTAACTGCTCTGTCAAATGCCTGCCCCAGATTGGTCTTTTAATTTCATTTTCACACAAACCCTTTGAAGTACTCTTGTACAGTACAAGCATACAAGCATCTTAAATGGCAAGGACAATCTTCTACTTTTTTTTTTTTTTTTTTGACAGGCAGAGTGGACAGTGAGAGAGAGAGACAGAGAGAAAGGTCTTCCTTTTGCCATTGGTTCACCCTCCAATCAGGGCCCAAGTACTTGGGTCATCCTCCACTGCACTCCCAGGCCACAGCAGAGAGCTGGCCTGGAAGAGGGGCAACAGGGACAGAATCTGGCACCCCGACCGGGACTAGAACCCGGTGTGCCGGCGCCACAAGGCGGAGGATTAGCCTAGTTAGCCGCGGTGCCGGCGACAATCTTCTACTTCTAACAAAACTATACCAAATCCTGAAAAGTGTCTATTGCTTTACATAGGACTTTATTAAAGAATGGCTTTCCTGTTTTGAAGAGGAAGATGACTGAAACAAATAAAAAATTAAAGGGCCAAATAAAAGGGGGTAGGAAAAGAAGCAGGGAATGAGGAAACCACTTACAAACCTTACAATTGAGAATGATTTGTCACTGTGTGTTGTATACAGGTGTCCAAATATCCCCCTGCATTCTGAGAATATATACAATTATCATGTGTCAAATAAAGACAAAAAAGAATGACTTGCTTTTGCATTGAAGAGGGAAGGGTATATATCATCTGTAAAATAAATCACTCGTGTTGTGTAAACAGTTGTCAATCAACCTCCTTCGGGGCAGGGTCTGAAGTTTTATGAGCAGAACAACTTCCATATTTCATCTCCCCCTCCCTCTGACCCTTACATTTTGTGTCTCTGTGTACCAACATTTCCTTAGTTGAAAGAAAAGAATTGTAGATCTTTGGCAGAACTAGTTTGTTGTTCTGACTTGAAAGTTCATTACTTAACACCAGGTAAACACTAGGCTGTTACTTGGTGAACCATTTTCTTAATTTGAGAAAATAACCTGTTTATTGTAGGAGGAATATGATTTGTGTGTGTGTGTGTATAAATCACAGTTGTGTATTGTTTCTTATGTCTGTTAGTGATCATAAAATTAGATTTTATCTGTTTTAATTGTACTATGTATTCACATATATTCACCCATGCTTGTGTTCTGGTTTTCCCAAATGCAGCCTGTAACAAACAGACACTTGCCCCACAGTGACCACTGTGGCTTTGACTTTGGAATTGTAAGGTGCAACCAAGTGAAATTTCCCTCAGCAACCTTGATACCCTTAGGTGGAGCCTCCCTCCTCTGTGTGCTGGACTCCACACCTCAGTGGAGTCTTTGTCATTTTTCTCCCTTTCTTCCTCTGTTTGACCCACCACCGAGTTATGTTATTGTTATTTATTATTTCATCATTTTTAAAATATTTAAATTTTAAAATATTTGAATTTGGGGACCCTCCTAATTGTCTGCTTTTCTCTTTCTTTGTCTCTCTTCCCATTCCTGAAAAAAAAAATACTTAGTTTAACTGTAAAGTCCAACCTCTCTACCTAATGTACCAGGATACCCTAGACTCCAGTCTACCTTAGCTAGGACATGACCATGTTTAACATAGAGAAGGGCCCAAAGGGGATGGGCTTTCAGTACAGTGGTTAACAGGCCACTTGGATCCATATGCATCCATGTGCAAGTGCCTGGGTTCAGAGGTTGGCTGTGCTTCCAAGTCTAGCTTCCTGTTAATGCACACCCTAGGAGGCAGTAGTGATGACTTAAGTGCTTGAGGGTCCTCACCGCCCATGTGGGAGACCTGGACTGAGATCCTAGCTTTGGCATTTGGAAAGTGAACCCACAGATGGAAGATCTCTCTCTGTGTCTGTGTTTCTCTGTCTTTCAAATAAACAAGGGGGCAGGGTGTGGGAGAGGAAAAGGGCTCAGAGTAGAGGCAAGAAAGAGTCTTGCTCTATCTCTTCTTTTCTCTTCTTTTCCTCTCCTACTCCAAACTTTTATTTCTCTTCCTCTTCTTTTTCTCTTCCTCTCACCTCTTGCTCTTCTTTGCCCAAGCTACTCCCTTTACTGTATTTTCAAGTTGCATCTATATGAAACTTTTGATTTAAAACATTTCAAGGGGCTGATACTGTGGCATTGCACATTGAGCCTCTGCCTGCAGAGCCAGCATCCCACATGGTTACAGGTTCAAATCCTGACTGCTCCAATTCTGGTCCAGCTCCCTGCTAGTGTTCCTGTGAAAACAGCAGAACATGGCCCAAGTCCTTGGGCCTCTGCACCCACGTGGGAGACTTAGAGGAAGCTTCTGGCTCTGGCTTGGCCTGGCCCAGCCCCAGCTGTTGCAGCAGTTTGGGGAGTAAACCAGTGGATGGAAGATCTCTCTCTCTCTCTCTCACTCTCTCTGTAACTCTGCCTTTCGAATAAATAAATAAATATATATTTTTAAAAATTTAAAAAACATCCTACTTTTAAAAGAAGAATATGATTTATAAACAACCCTTTATGAAAACCATAGTCCCATTTTATAGAGAAGGAAACCGAGCAAAAGAGAGTGTGAGTACACAGTCCAAGGGCACAGCTGCAGTTTGTAAGTGATGGGTTTGGACATGCAACAGATCCTGCCCAGAGCAGATCCCAACTTCTCCAACAGGGGGCTCTGTTGACAGCCACTTTCATTTAATGAGTATGTAATAACTGATATTTAACCAAAAAATTTCTTTGCATTGCTCCTGGGATTTTGTGTGTGTATATCTTCTCCTTACAGGTAACCTGGATATGCCTTCTCAGCAAGAACGGTACCCTATATTGTTTTGTAGACCTCTCTGCACCTGAGATAGAAACACACACACAGGAAGTTCTTAAATACAATGGAACTTTGTTTGGCCTGTTCCTTTTGGCTCTGATTCTACTTAAGAGGCATATTGTGGCTGTTCTAAGAACATCAACTCAACTGCTGGAAAGTAAAGAGGTTTAAATTGTTTGATTCTGAGTACACCCCCAAATCTCCCTTACTAAATATAGATGTCATGCATGAAAAAGAACGTGATAACAAGTGTGAAGACTCTAAGTGTCCAGAATAAAAAAAAAAGTATTGCATATCTTATGCTTTCATGCATGGATTATATTCCTTTAACACAGCAGCATGACGTTCTCAAGAGGAAAAAAAGGAGAACATGATTTGCAGGGGCCTCTTCTTGTGGGATGCACTTCTTGTCAGATGAAAGTTAAACACTAAAGTTTCAAGAAGTTCTGGATGCACTGCCAAGCACATCTGCCTGCTTGGACATTCTATCTGGGGAGAGATTGATGATTGGCAGGTGAAGGCTAAGGGGAGGTGTTACACTGGCAGGAAGTCTATTTAGAGAGCACGTTAGATTATAGAAAGGTGAATTTGGTGCTAAGCCCTGTTAGTGATGTGAGTTTGAAGATAATATCCACAGGTGCATGCTTCTAAAGAGACTTATCTATAAATGCACACTCTGAATGCAATTAATGTCTTTTTTTCACCCTGACTCTGGGATGGCTAACACCTTGTAATAGCCTAACCTTCCCTTTTATTTTGAATTAATATAGCAGCTGTTGCCTATAAGTTTTAACACCATTCTACAAAACTGGACAATAAACAACACTCTCTGGAATTAAGTTTTCCATTTTGGTCATTAGGAATGTGCAATTATTGCTCAGAAAAAATTGAGAGAGAGAGAGTATTGGGTAATATTTAGGCATCTTTCATTTAGAGAATACAGGAACATTTTCCTGAGCTTGAAACAACCTTGTTTCAGGCCTTCTTGGTATTCTATGAAGTGGAAAAGTTTCATGCATTAGTAGTCCTGTTTGCAGATAGGAAAAAAGTCATAGAACAAAGCAAAAAAAAAAAAAAAAAAAAAAACTAGCTCAGTTAATTGTAACAACAGAATGAATACCTAGCAGCAGTAGTTTGTAGTTCAACTAAAGATTTGGGCAATGCCTTCCAAAGAATAGATTACAGGGGCGCAGTGGGTTAACGCCCTGGCCTGAAGTGCCGACATCCCATATGGGCGCTGGTTCTAGTCCCGGCTGCTCCTCTTCCTATCCAGCTCTCTGCTGTGGCCTGCGAAGGCAGTAGAAGATGGCCCAAGTTCTTGGGCCCCTGTACCCACGTGGGAGACCTGGCAGAAGCTCCTGGCTCCTGGCTTTGGATCAGCGCAGCTCCGGCCAATGTAGCCATCTGGGAAGTGACCAGCAGGTGGAACACCTCTCTCTCTGCCTCTTCTCTCTCTGTGTAACTCTGACTTTCAAATAAATAAATAAATCTTTAAAAAAAAAAAAAAAGAGTAGATTACAACAGAGGTAAGGGATAAGCACTGTGGTGCAGTGGGTTAAGCCACCACTAGGGATGCCCTATCCCATCCTGGAGTGCCTGGTTCAAGTCCTGGCTATTTTGCACTTATTATCCTGCTTTCTTCTAATTACTAAGGAGCAGCAGCTTATGGCCCAAGTACTTGGGTTCCTGCCACCCACATGGAAAACTCAGATGGAGCTCTTGTCTCCTAGTTTTGACCTGGCCTGGGTCTGGCTGTTGTGGGAATTTGGGAAGTGAAACAGAAAATGGAAGTGCACAATCTCTCTCTCTCCCTCCCTCCCTGCCTCTCTCTCTTTCTCTGTCTCTCTCTCTCCTTTTCTCTGTCACTCAACCTTTCAACCAAATGAACCTTTAAAAAATTGAGGTGAAATGAAGCAATAGTAAAACTATATGACCATAGATGAAGATCCACATCAGAATCAATTGCTTAGGAACAGAAAATTCAAATATTATTTTATAACATGCTTAGATATGTGGTAAGACAAGTCCCTGCCTTATACTGATACTCTTCTTTTGCAAAGATGTCTAGACTTGCTCATGAATTTACTATCCACATGAACTTTACAATCTTTTTTTATTTTTAATTTAACAAGAGCCATATGGGCTCTTGTGAGTTCCCAAACTCTCCACCTACTGTCAACATTTAACCTTGTGCTAGCATTTGATGAGTATGACATGAAATTCGTAGAATAATTTTGGAAGACTGTACCTTGTACAATTATGGCTTTTCATCTAGAAACATGGCATGTTCATAGCATAGATATTTAATTTAATTACACCCACTACAGTTAAACCATAGCATGATCAAGTCCCCTAGATTCAC